GAAGAGCCCTTGCTGCATCATAAGTAGCTAAGAGAGAAGGGTTACCCCCATGGCCTCCTCAGTATTACTCCTTCCACTTTCCTCTCTGTTGCATGATGTGGAGCATAGAAGACTGGATACGGTTTCCTCAGTTTCCCCAACTCTGCTTCCGTAACTCTACCTGGGAAATAGCCTCCTGGGCTTCTCATCTTGCCTCACTTCAGCTCACCTCAGCTCACCTCAGCTCAGCTCACCTCACCTCACCTCACCTCATGGCATTGCCTGGGGACTTCATCCAGGAATCTACCAGCTGTGTGGGGAGAGAAATCCTCACCCTGGTGACACAGATTATGGGCACAATGAGACCCAACTTGTGTTAGATGCAAGAAGCATTTTCATTTCCTGCATTTTCACATGAAGTACCTGAGGCAGAGGAGTCAGACCTTCTTTCTCAAGTGTATGGTTAGAGATTGGTATTCAGACTCCAGGCAGTGGCCCAAGAGAGTAATGCTCAATATTTTCCCATAATTAAAAAGACCAGAAGCTTAAAGTTGTACTAATACCAAGCAATCAGCATCAGTATCACTCCTGTGGGGTAACAACTTTTCTAGCCTGTTCTGTGAAGGCTTCTGAGTTGCTTGCAGCCTATGAGTACAGTTGGTAAGCAGAGATGTGTCTTTAAGCACAGCTTCAAGCTGGCTTCTTCATAAAAACTTCCTTGCGTACAGGATGAGTCACCCAGAACTGACAGAAAGGTCTATGAGAGAGACTCAAAGTGAAACTTTCAGTCTATCAACTGTCCCTGGAGCCCTACTCTTGTGCCACCCTCAGAGTTTGGAAATAGAATTTGGAGGGACAAAGAGTTTGCTTGCAAGTCTTGGCCACTCTGGAGTCTGTCTTCTCTTCCTCCTCAGCAGGGTCACAGGTGGAGTGCTCAGTGCTGGAGGGGATGCAGTCTGTTCCCAATACTGGTTCCATCCCAGCTTGGAAGGAAGGACAGCAGGGAGAAGCTGCACAGTGTCCTGGTGGCTGAGTGGCACATTCCTTCTACCCAGCCCTGACCCTGGCCACTTGCTTCTCTCCTTGTGAAGTTGCACACCTCGCTATGAATGTACAGTACATGGCAGGTGGCTATGGGGCTGGGCTGGCCTGGAACAGGAAGGAATCAGAAGACAAGAGGTCTGAGTGTCCTCTTGTCCCCTCAGCACCTGTGGTGCCCCATGACGAGGTGGAACAGGAGTTTCACTTGGCTTTGGCCTCATTCCTGGCTGTAATCTTTGCTGACCCCTTGTGCTTGGGGCAAGTAACTTCCTTTGTCATTAGTGATTCTGGGGGACCAATTGCTGGCAGCTGCTGGCTGAGAGGATGTACTCTGTGTCCTGCTGTTTGTCTTGCTGTTTGTTGTTTCCACAGCCAGATGTGTTGGCTTCATCCCTGGGGAGTCTGCACCCCAGAATCCTAGGGTGGGGGAGGTCTAAGACACTCCCTAGTCCAGTCCCCAGTCTCCAAGGTATCTGAAGCTGTAGGAAGAGCCCCCTGGTTTATGAGTTGTGAAATCCTTTAACAGCTGCCCAAAGGCATGAGTAGGGCTGTATTCTCTAGCTGTGTCCCAGCTGCATGCTGTGCCATCCCTCTTTCCTCACTCACTGCCAGGCAGCAGCCTATTGTCACCTCCTACTAGTACACGTGTGGATGGAGCAACCCAGCAATGTCTCCTGGGACAGAGTGTTCCTGTGGCTTAGCCTGGGCTCAGGCCACACCCACTCAGTGATGAGCTGGCTGTTCTCCACAGAACAGCCAGAAGATGGCGTCTTTCTGAGCCTTACCTGCATCCACCCCTGCACTTTCCACCCTTTCTCACTATTCAGGCTACACCCTCTGCCCCTCATCTGCAGTCAGCAGAGTGAGGGACAGGGCGCACGGGGTTCCACACACAGGCTCAGGAGTCTGACTCCCAGCATCTGCTATCCACTGCTGCGTGGGCTTGGGCCAGGTAGCCAAGTTCCCTGTGCCTTCTCCTTGCCTACAAATAGGAAAAGAGCCAGGCCTACTTCACAGGTTGTCGAAAGACTGAAGCGCACTAGATGTATCTGAGGCACTTAGAATGTGCCTGGCACATGGGATGTCTCAGAGAAGGCTGCCTTGTGTCATTATCCCAAGGGATACATGGTGGCAGTAGAGGATGGAGACACCAGATCTAGAAAGTGGAGGTCCTGAAGTCAGCTGAGGCTATATAGTGCCAGCAAATCCAGATGGCTGAGGATTTGCCTTCATTCCTGTGGTGGACATTGAGTACTTTGGCTATTTTGCCTGATAAATATTCATGAGATGAATAAATAAATATTAATGATGGTCACAATAGTTACTATGTGTTGTGTGCTATGTTCCAGCCACACTTACATATGGTAATTGCTTTAATTTTATGCATTATTATTATAGTCATCTTTTAATTTGTATTTATTATTATTTTTTGTGTTACAAGGAACCGAATCCAGGACCATTACTGCTGAGCTGCACCCCAGGCCCTTGTCATCTCTTTTGTGAGTGAGTTTTTGAGGTTCAGCATTGTTGGGTAGAGTGTCCAAGGTCACACAGCTGCTTCCATGTCTCACAAGCTGAGTGACCTGAAACACCTCTGAAAATTAAACACCTCTCTAAGATGCCCTCCATGTGCTGTCGCATGCCTCAGTTGGTGTATTTATTGATAGTGGTAAAGAGAAGCCATTAAAGGACCAGCCAAATAGCTCAGCAGATTAAAGCAACTGCAAGCAGGCTCAGGGACTGGGGGTTCAATCCTCAGGCCTGCCGTGCCAGTCCCATCCCCGGGGTGCGCTGAGATGGCAATTAAGACTGGGCATGGTGGTGCATACCTGTAATCCCAGCTCTTGGGAGGCTGTAAACAGGTGGATCACTACCAGTCTGATCAAATAGAGAGACCCTGAACACCCTGTAGACCCTTCCCTAAAAAATATGAGGAAAAAGAGAGAAGCCAATTAAAATATAACCCTTTTGTGGATGCAGTGTCACCCGTGAAGACTGCAGATTGGGACTGTGAGGGCCCACAGTGGGATCAGAGAGTTTAGAAAGGAGCCGCAAACATGGTGAGTGTTCCAGAGTCCAGCACATGCGGACGCTGGTGGTGAGTCACTGGCACGTGGCACAGAGTGGAGCCCTCCCTGTCAGCCCTCGAGGCTGGTTGCTCCAGCCAAGGTTTTACAAATTATCAGCCTGGGTAGTGCAGCAAAGATCACATTGTGCAAAAGTACCCCAATGCCAACTGTGCCCTTGCAAAGTTCAAATAGGAAGAGGAACCAGGGAGGCAGGAGAGGGGGAAGAAGGAAGGGAAAGCAAAGGAGAAGAGAAGGGAAAATTGGAAAGAAAGCTTTTGTAAGTTGAGAGGGAGAGAGGAGTGGAAGGCAAGGGAGTGGAATGGGAAAAGGGAGGAGCAAGATCTATCATGTACAGGTACCAATTCCCCATGATAAGTGTTGTCATCCTGTATATCTAAAATGTATTGATGCAGCAAAGAGAAGGAAAACTGTATATTTCATTGAAAGCTCTGTTGTTTTCTTCTAACCTAGAGTTGATCTTTTCTAAACCAAAGCCTCCATATTCAGGTTTAATAGCAGTGTGGGCACTTTGCGATAAATAAGTGGGTTTTGGGTTGCAATTTTGCACTGATCTCTAAAAGATCCCCACCACTGGCCTGGTGGATCGTGTCCTCAGCGTCTAAAGGGTTCACTTTGGGGGCTCCACATCCAGTCACTTGCAAAGGATCTTTGCTTTCTGTGGTCTGCGGCAGATGACAATTCAGATGCCCTCTGGCCTCTTGCCTATTGTCACTCATTCTGGTTGCAAACTGGAGACTGCGTGCTCTATGGTGTACTTTGGTCAGGTTAATAATTCTCCGAAGTATTCGGAATCCTATTCATCTTCCGACAAAAGCCTTCATTCTTCTTCCCTATCACAGAAATCTCCGGGTGTGGCTTCCCTCAGAGGCTGTTCTCTGAACCGGAAGGATTGCCACATTAGGGTTTCTCAAGAGTCTCGGGGTGGGAGGACCAAGAAGAGAGGAATGCTAAGAAGCGGTCCCCTGGGGCTGGAGGCCAGCTAGCAGGTCTTGGGGCCTCCTCCATGTTCTGGAGCTTGGCTGCTGTGTTTGCAGAGTGTTACTTTAGAGGATTTTCCTTACTTCTCTAAGCTCATAATATGTATATGAGGAAAACAGAGGTGAGAGGGAGTCCCAAGAGCCCTGTGTGTGGCTTGGTTACACAAAATCCACCAGGTTTCTTTACTGTAGAACATCTCTGAGCCTTTATTACACTAATGTCATTGCCTCTCAGGGTAAGTAGATTTTTCCGGTTTATTTGACTCTGTACCTTTAGAACCAGGAGCATTTGCAGGGATGCTGTTTGGAAGGACGGGCCTGAGAAATGGTGCCGTTGGCCCCAGAAGCTACTGAAGGAGACATGGGCAACTGGTGTCCAAATCCATTGCAGAACAGGTTGAACTTTCCCTTTAAGTTTTACTAGAAGCCAGACCCTTCAAAGAAAATCCTGAGTAAATTAAGTTATTAAATTTATACATAGCAAAGACCAGAAGCTGGAACATCGCTGGGTCTTAAAAGGGCCTGTTGTTTTGCATTTACACTGGGAGCTATGACTTAGAGTCACGAAGTCAGCACTGGATGCCAAAGGGCAAGTCTTCCAGGGTCTCATTGGTTAACGGGAACAGTGGCCAATAGGTGGGGTTATAGGAAGGCCGGTGAGGTCTCCAGGAGGATCAGAGAGCTGGCTCAGGGGCTTACTTACCCCGAGCTGCCCCACCAGCCAGTGGCCACTCACAAAGCCTAGAAAAGAAGCAGGTGAGGCCCTTGCTGAATGAGAGGAAGGCTCACCAGAGGCCTGAAGTGATCATGATAAGATCTTTAGCTCCCATAATTGCGTAATGTCCAAACAAATACGCTTAGCGACCTTGGGGTCTGAAGCCAAGCGAAAGCCATTGATAGGCTAGGACAACAGTTTGTGATTTCTTCGACATCAAAACACTGGCTAAGTAAACTTTAAAGCAGGTTTTCCCCAAAGCTCTGCAGGTCAGCGATGGAAAACAGCTCATTCCAGTGGTCTCCAGCCAGTGCCATCCTGGAGCAGAGAGAATGGTCAGGTCAGGAGCTCTGGCTGGGAGGGATGGGATGGACAGGGAGAGGGGGTGAGAAGGGAGGAACCAGTCTGCATTCCTGCCGTGCGTTCCTGGAGAAAGGAGAAATGACAAGGAAGGAAGGAAGGAAGGATGAAGAGAGGTTGTTATGTAATACTCCTGAGAGCCTGTGTTGGCCTTTGGCAGAGACACCTGAGTTCCTCAGGGGCTGAAGTAACTCGAGCTTCCTCCAGCAAGGCAGATCTTTGCTACAAGTGTAGAGGCTCAGAGAAAGGGCTAGAAGCCAAGGGGCATAATCTCTGAGTCTGCACTGAATTAGCTCTTGAAATGACTTAGGATGAAATACATAGGTACTTGAACCCCAGTGCCTAACAACAAACCAGCCACATGGTACGCATGGTACGCATCCCAGGGAATGTACTGAGTCCAACACTGATTGGATCTATGATACTGAGATCTTCCTGCGTGGAATTTTCCACGTGGTTAAGCAATATATCGATGAAACCACTAGTGATGAGCTAGAAAAGCTGTCTCTTGTACCAAACACTCATGCACAATTTCCTTTTATACAACTTGACCACCAGAGAGGTGTGATTCCACCCTCAAGGAGAATATCGTCTACAGTGAACCACGGGTTCTTTCTGGAAGTCTGAAGGAGGTTGTCTTTAGCAAGCCGTATTGATTCATTCAGATAAAAATCTGAAACTCTCTTCTGAGAGTTGAGTTTCTACTTATAAAACAGTGTAAAAGAAATGAATGTATTATAATATTTTAAAAAACATTTTGTTAGTGTACTTTGGTAGCAGATGATAGCATAGTTTTCATCCCTTTTTTCTTTCTGTCTCTTGTCAATTGGCTAGCCTCACTGTGAAAGGTCTGGGGACCTGAGATTCCCCAGCCAAAGTGTCGGCAGTGCTGTAATGACGCTTATTCTAGGTGTGGTGGGAAAGTCGGCAGGCTTGATTTTAGTGGTGGAAAGGTATTTCCTAGCACTGCTAAATCCATAAAGTATTCAATCTAATAGTACCTTCAGGAGCTTATGGAGAAGTTTTCCTCTGTCCTGCAACGTAGAGCGTAGGTCTTACAAAGATCAGCAGCTCCCTTCTGTGTTCCTTTTCCTCCAGAGCTGGAAAGCAACAGCCGCTCTTCGTTCAGTCCTTCAGTGCGAATCTGTGCTGTGCTCCTAGGTTTGGGGTTCAGTTTAGAGTTCATTGGAATGAGAATGATATTCAAATGCTCTATCCTGTAACATAATGGTTTCTGTATTCAGAAGACCAAGAAAATCATCTTTTATTGAAATTCTGTATTATTTTTATTCCCTTTAAAATGAAAAATAAGTTAAAAAAAAAGAAATCACACAAAAAGATAAACACATAAATCATTAATAAAGCTGAACTGCTGATAGAAATGACAAAGGTAGGGCTGACCAGATAGCTCAGTGGATAAAAGTGCCTGCTTAGGAAGACACAAGGACCGGGACTGGGGTTCGATCCCTGGGCATGCTGTGCTGGCCCCACCCCAGGGGTGTGGTGGTGCTCACCTATAATTACCGGACTTGGGAGGCTGAAAACAGGAGGGTTACTACAAGTCTGATCTGTGTGGTGAGACCCTGTAGACTACTAAATAATAAATAAATAAATAAATAAATAAATAAATAAATAATTGACAAAGGTAACTGAAAAGAATAGACTAGGTAAGAAAGATGGATTTTGAGCAAGAACTCTCAATAGTTTGCAGACATGGTGGGTAAGAAATCTAATAATACTCTCTTTTTTTTTTAACAAAACAATGTAAGTAACAGTCTGGTTATATTTTGTCCCCTTTCTCATTATTTAAATAGATTTTTCAAAGTTTGTTTTGCAGTTTTTAAAAAATACTAATAATATTATGGTTATAAAATCGCTGTATAGTTATTGCAGAGAATTAGCATATATGGAAGTATAGGTAAGGGGGAAAATCCCATGTGGTGCCTTCACAGTTAAGACCTTAAGATGTCTTTCTGCACGTGTAATGTCCGACAGAACACATATAGGAACCTCTTGTATACCGCCTGCATCTGTTTCTCGGTTGTCTCTCTATTTTGTTCATTTTTCTTTTTTAGGTTAGGAAGTTAGGCCAGCTTACCGTAGTACTGCATTCCAAACCCCCTTCTAGCCTTGGGCGTTGTTCTTACGTCCATCCTTACGTTGTGAGGGCCGTGTACAGGACGCTTCCTGCTCCGCTGTATGGATGTGCTGCAGTGGCCGTGTGGGAACATGAGTAACAGCTGACGTCTGTAATGGCCCTGCTGTCCCTCACTACTGCTGTGGTGTCGTTCGCTTCATCTTTTTGCAGTGACAGAACAGCGCTGCTTCTAGTTTGCTTGTTTTATAAATAGTGCTTCACGTGACCATCTTGGACTGTATTGGATTTACTTACTTAACAATCATTTCCTGCGCCATAGTCTGAAAGTGGGGTTATCAGACCTGCGGGCACACAGAGAATTATATTTGTTACCCGTGTTCAGAAAGACGAAGCCTGATTGTACTGCTACTCTTGATTTAAGTCATTTTATTTAGATTTGCTGCCTGACTAGTGATCTCAAATTAAAAGTTAAATTTCTTTACCTTTACTTTTTAAAATGTGTCTCTTTCTTTCTTTCTTCCTTCCTTCCTTCCTTCCTTCCTTCCTTCCTTCCTTCCTTTCTTTCTTTCTTTCTTCTTTCTTTCTTTCTCTTTTTTTTTTTTATTTTGTAGTGGAGATTGAACTGAGGGCTTTTACACTGAACTGTCTCCCCGCCTTTTTCATTTTTTATTTTGAAGTGGTCTCACTAAGTTGCTAAGTTGTCCAGGCTGGATTTGAACTCATGATCCTCTGGCCTCAGCTTCCCACTGGAATTACAGGTGCACACCATCACACCTGACCAACTTCTATCTTTTTATAACAAGAGATACAAAGTGTAATAAGAATGTACAAATTAAATAACTAAAAATTATTGTCTGAATTAATAATTAATATGTATATACACATATGTAATATGATATTAAAAACAGTTCTTGCCTTTCATGTAAAAAATTAACACAGTGATTTTTTTTTTTTTTTTTTTTTTTGTGGAACCGGGGATTGAACTTAGGCCCTTGCGCTTGCCAGGGAAGCACTTATTCCACTGAGCCGTCTCCCCGGCCCCAACACAGTGATTTTTGTAGGGAAAATTTTGAAAGAAAAAAACTTGCTTCTATCCTCATATCTTTTACATTTTTTATTTTTGTTCTTGTTTTTTTGCACAGGGTCTCACTGGGAAGCTCAGACTCATAGTGATCTTCCTTTTTTTTTTTTTTTTTTTTTTTTGCGGAACCGGGGATTGAACTCAGGCCCTTGCGCTTGTCAGGGAAATGCTTATTCTACCAAGCCATCATCCCGGCCCAGATCTTCCTGTTTTTAGCTTCCCCAGCACTGGGATTACAGGCTTTTGCCACCATGCTCCGACTTAGTTGCAGGCTCAGAGTATCCAAGAGCAGGGCCAGCACTGGTGCGGCATGTGGTGCTAAGGACTGAACCCTGGTCCTTGAGCTTGCCTGAACAGGTGCTTAGTCCACTGAGCTCTCTTGCCGGCCCTGTCTTCATATTGCAATGTTTTGTTGTTGTTGTTGTTTGATTTTTGTTTGGTCTTCTTTACCAAATTGTCAGCAATCTTGCATCTCACAGTTCTACTCACTTAATTGTCCTAAATGTTTCTTGATGGCCTTATACAGTGACAGCAAAGTGACGTTCCAGACCCTCCAGTGACTGAGCAGGATCTTTGCATTGCATTGTCCCAGAAAAAAGAAATACATATATTTTGGACTTGAAGTAGCTATCTTTGAATGTATTCTCTTTTTGTCTATGTCCCTACCAAATGTCCCAGGCTCGGAATTCCAGCTAAGCCCAAGGGCTTGCCCTAGGCCTTGGATGACTTAGCAACTGCATGGCCACAGAGCTTGCTTGGCACAGGGTCATTCATGAATTTTCTCTGACATAGCCTTGTGCTGTCCCAGGACACCTTTCTATGCCAAGATCTTATCCCCATGAATTTAATGGAACAAAGCAATGCATTTCCTCTTATAAACCTTTAAAGTATTAATTAATGATGATATACTGTTGCTTATACATTTTTAAGAATGAATTTGGAAAAAAACAAAACACAGGGAGCCCCTAATACAGGTCTACCCAGTGTCTTTCAGTCCACGGAGGAATCCTTGGAGGCTGGCTGAGGACAGTGCTGTGGAGTCTTTAGAATCCTGACGGCTGTGTGTCTAACAAGCTGCTCGGAAGGCCAGGCCAGCTGTGACAGGCAGATGGCTGTGTATCATGTGTTTTCATATGATTGTGTTGTTTCTATTTAAAGAGAGAAAATAGCTCTTTAGCAAACAGTGTTGCTACTTCACGTATGAAGAAACTCAGGTCTGCAATACTTAACTTGTCCAAGGAGATGGTCAGCTAGCCACATGCAGCTCCGATGGGCCTCCCTGGAAAGCTGGGCCTAGACCACTGCTGTTGTCCTACATTCACATGCAGGAGGCAGGGTGGACAGCACACAGCACCCGTGGGTGCCTCTCCTCCTGTGAGTCTCAGTATTCCCCCAAAGGCTGCTCTCCTGAGCAGGTGCTAGTTATAGGAGGAAACAGAAAAGGGCTACAGGGAGCAGCAGGACATGTGGAAGAAGTGGGTCAATGGTTGGGAGGAGGGAGAGTGGGATCCATGACCCTGCAGTTCTAACACTGACTCCATCACAGCTGATTTCATCCACAGACCCTCTGACGGTTGGTCTTCTTTCATGCTGAGAGGAAAGTCTATGCTTTAAGTCACTCCGCCAACAAGGTAGAGGAATGTGAGTCCCCATTGGCCAAACGAACCTGAAGGAAAGGAGAAATTTTTTGAAGACTTGTGTTCTGCCATTGGAACATGAGCAAATTTTATGTCATGTTCCATCATCTTTCTGTGCTTATTTGCATATTCAGGGGTCCCTCACTTATGGCGGAGGTT